GCAATTTTAAGTAAAAAAAATTGAAAAAATATCGAAAATTAGCGATTTTTAAATTTGTAATTTTTTGGGGGATTTCCCCCGTTTACGGGGAACGAGGGAATTTTTTTCAATTTTTGAGGGTAATGTCTTCGACTAGATACGATTTGTGATCTTTTGACATATTGTTCATCAAAATCGGTCCAGCGAGAGCTGAGATTGAGCGTTCACAGACACAAAAAAAAAAATAAAAAAAATTAAAAAACACATCATAGTAAAATTAATACCTTCTCAGCTTCGCATCGAAGCTAAAAAAATTATGGAGTGAAAAAATTAATTTGTATATCTATGACTTATTAATATTTTTGCAATTTTATGGCTTCTTAAAGTCTTTCTATGTCTTTTAGATTTTGTTATATTTCTACGACTTCTCAATGTTTAACATTTCTATGGCTTCTTAGTATTATTGCATTTCTATATTATTAAAATTTTTGCAATTCTATGGGTTCTTTATGTTTTTACATTTCTAAGGCTTAAAACTTTCGAGCTGAAGTAAATATTTCATGAAGCTTTCTTTTTTTTTTTTAACTTTTACAGTTTTGGACTATAATAATATATTTATTATTTTCTTTTAATAATAAAAAAAAATAAAATAAAATTGGCTATTTTTTAGCTTATTTTTACAAAAAAAAAATTGCTTGTTATTATCAAATTTAGGGTATGTACTTATTAAGTTACAGACATTTTGATATCTTAAAAGAGTCATAGTTACTCCTCGCTGTCCGGGGGCTCGGATTGGCCCCCCAGCCACCGGAGGAAAAGATGCGGGGAGTCTTGGATTCACTAACCATATCCGGAATCTGCACTGTAGGCTGGTGTTGTCGCAGGTGATGCTACAACTCTTACCCATCCAGTTTAGCAGAAACCTTTCCTAGAGTGGGTTCGCAGAGGCCCACCACCAAAACTGATCTCTAGCCGTAATTTAGAGTGCACGGCAGAGCACCACTGCGGACTCCTATTGAGAGAACCGCAGCTGGGATCAGAATGCGACCCTCTGCCCAGATTTAAGGGTCATACGCGCATGACGGAATAACACATCCCCACGTGTCCCACAAGCATTGAAACCAAGCCCAACCGTGTCCAACACCATGAACCTGGCACGCTTAACCGACAGCGTGGGCCTCCAAGTTCCCCGGTTTACCAGTGTTGCCGAAGCAGCCTTGGACTGGTAGTGGCCGCAAACGCTTCTCTGTTAAGCCTGACAAATAGAATCCACTGGATCCTAGATGGTAGGACTGCTGAAAACCCCAACCTGTTCAACCAGAATCCTGAAATAAGGATATGAAACCTCAGCTTTAGGGGCAAACTCCAACAGATTGCAAGTTTACCCGCGAAACATTTTAATACAATGAGTAGAAATGTAAAACTACTGGGTTTATCTCGTACTGATGTATATTTTTAACCTACTTCCCGACCGCAATATTTACTTAAACCATATATTAAATGCTGTATCTCAATAAGTAGTTATTTTTAAGTTGATAACTACCCATCAAAATTTTTGTTAGGAAAGAGGTAAAAAATTGTTTTTTTTTTTTTCAAATTTCAAAAAAAATTATATATATTATTTTGTTTATATTTAAAAAATAAAACTGTAAAAATTTTAAAAATAAAGTAATGCGAAGTATTTTCTGGATAAAGTGTTATTAAAGATGTTAAAACCTCGTGGGACTCGATTACTTATTAATAAATTATATTAACATAATTAATATTTTAGCACGGTCACTCGTGAGTCATATAGACTTAAATGGTGACATAGTTTATAACAATAGTTTAAGAATCTTTAACAGAACCAGTTTTTGGTGAGGTACGTTACTTTAAAGGGTTCTTAAAAACAAATTATTTGAGGTTCCGTTTAGGTTCTCGGTTCTTTATTTTTTTTTGTCAAAGACGATTTTGAATTTTGAAAGGTTCTCATTTATAAAGTTCTTACTCCTATTGTAAATTTTGGAACAAATTCCTTCTCAACATTGTTAATTTCATTACCAATTCCTATATTAATGAGCATTATAATTTTATTACTTTTTAATAATAACTTACTTAATTGTGGGTATTTTATTTATTGATAATTTATAAATAAATAGGAATACTCGATTGCTTTAATTTATTAAGATATAAAAATAAATCATTCCTAAATAGTTTGATTAATGAATCAGAGTAAACTGAAGTAAGGTTTCAATATTAAAATAAACAATTTAATATAATAGTTATGAATATTTGATAATAATCAACTAATTTAATAAAATCATATAAATTAAATTTTTTAATATCAGTGAGCTTGGCCTAAATTGGCGCATAGAGTCTCGGGATCGACCTTCAGGGTGCCAACGAAATTTTTCTTGTGATTTACTCATTGGTAGTGTCTAGTCTTTGGCATAAACCAGCCATAATACCCGTCCCATCCTTTATTGGCCAGGTCATGTACAAGCCTTTGACTCTGTAAGAATATTTATTACTATGTTCTTACCACTTATATTACACACGTTTTATTTCCTTTTACTTAATTCGTAATACATATTAATTAGCACAGAAGGAGATACTGATGTGACAATTCTACTCGTCTGTAGCCCGGAGCTACTGACGTTGAACTAACAAAGGGCAGTTGTGTTTGAGTGGCCGTTATAGACATAGTTTTCAATACTATTACTTTCGTCTTATTTATAACTTCACTTTTTTTATTCAACGGCCCGTCTATCGCCCATTGTCATCATGGCCAACCAACTCCGTCTCACTTGGATATACCTACTAACCAACTGTACTAGGATTCAGGTCAGGCATATTGTACATTACATATAACTTATATTTACTGAACATCTAGAATATAAATTTTCTTTGTCGTTGACATAAAACAATAGTTTAATTTTATTTAATAATCTATCCCCTGTAACTAAGGTACACGATTGCGCGTGTTTCCTTCAGGTAATTAAAACTCATTTAAGGAGATAGGGACGATATTTCGGCAGACGTCGGATAGCTTCCAATTCTTGGTTTGACCAAGATCCTCAAGTATTAAACTAGTCCCCAACAACTCCTTAAACACACGAATCCTCTATAATATGTTAATTTCGGGAAATAGATGGATATAAAACTGAAAACAAATTTTTTAATGAGCCTTTACATATTTGATCTTATCAGATATTAAATATAGTTAAAAAAAACACGCTTTTAAAGCACATTGAACTAAAAAGTTAAAAATAATTTTTAAAATAAGCTTAAAACAATAATGAACAAAAAATACTGGTATTATTGTGATAAAAGCGTCGGGCGCTCAATATACGAAAAATATGGCACAAAGCACCCACGCGTGTACGGGTACGAAAACCAAAAATATAAAATTATACAGAATTAGTGTTGCCGGCGTGTGATGAGCAGGTTGGGGTGAATGCGTTACGACGTCTAGTCTCAAGGTCATAGACGACGGGATACGCGAGAATAATAAAACGTGTCGTATGAAAAGTTACATTCTACAACTCACAACAAACAAACATACATGTGAACCTAATATAACCTAACATGTTATATAAAAGTTTTAATCAGTGGTCTTCTGAACAGTAAATAGCAATACCCAATTTTCAATTTTGACAATAAACACTACGAATTCTCACTAATACGCTTTTATACATTCATATATCTTTAAATAAAACAAAACTTAATCACCGCCCTCCATTTTGTATATTTTACAAAGAAATTGTTTTTATCAATAACCCATACTACTATTTTTCAAATATAGAATCATAAAGATCGTAAATATTTTTGATTTGGAACTCGCAAGTTTCTAATAGAGCGAATATTATATAAAATAGCGATACCTTTAACATAGTACTGTTTTCATTCTCCTTAATTTCTTCAGTAAGTTTTTGTAATTCCAATTTATTTGAATTATATAGCGCCATTTTTTCTATTTGTTTATTTTCTTCTCGAAGCTTCATCCTAAAATTTATTATTAAATACCATTAATTATAATCCATTTACTTGAATATATTTTTACTCTTTTAATAATTCTTCATTCTTCATCATTTTATTTTTAAATATTTGGTACTTTAATTTTTTCATATCTGCATTATATTTTTTTAGTTCCCTGGATCTCTCATCTGCTGCAGATAAATTTTCTTTCAATTTTTTTAGTCTTTCTAATTCGTTAAATGTAAGTTGAATATTTCTTTCTTTGAATACCTAAATAATAAAATAATGTTAATATAAATCCCTAACATAACATAAATCACTGTAAAATCTGTAAATTTACTTCAGACTGCTGTAATGCTCTATTGAACGTTTTCGTCCAATCTTTTTCTTCAAACTTAAGTTTGCGTGTTTTTTCTATTACTTCATTCCTAATTCTATGAGCTTCTATTTTCATTTGCTCATCTATTTGACGTTGCTCAACCTCCAAATTTTCTTTGGCCTTATGTTTCTGTTCTAAAACTCTCTTAGTTTCATTCTAAAACGTTTAAAAGATAGTAAAACTTTATTATTCCATCTCTATATTTTATACATATATACAGAATATTTCTTTTAACGCTAGCCATTCGATTTCTCTTAAAAAAATAAGTTTTTTGCTTATCTTTATAATTTTGTGTAGTTACAAATGTACTCCATTAATCTGTCATAAAATAATGTTATGGTACATTTTTTATATTTTATAGGGGTGTCAACTTTATTTTCTTTAATTGCAACTAAATATTTGGCTAACATAAAAAATAGAAAATTTTTGGTCAAAAACAACTTTTGGATTAGTACTCCAAAAAAATAACATTTTTATACCTGGACAGAAGGACAGTTTCGGTTAAGGAATTTCTAATTACAAATATTGTTATACTTATGCTTCACCTCCACTCTAAATATCATATTTTTAAACATTTATTCATACAAGGAGTATTATTTTGTTCTTAAAATTCAAAATATAGTGGAACCAAAAAATATAGGCAATTATAGTTTTTATGAATTAAATGGAAATTTAACACATAATGATTAAAAATAACACATTTTCAAAAATTAATTATAATAGAAAATTGAAAATAAATATTTTTTTATTTGCAAATTTACTATAATTATCTATATACCTTATACTGTTGTAGACATTTTATTACTTATTAATTTATTTAAAATACTGGAAAAACTCCAAAAAACTAGTTTTAGCCTATATTTTTAGAACCACTGTAGCTGTTTTTAAAGCTTTTTCTACAAACATTTTAATGGATCAATAACAATTACCAGAAAATTTATTATACTTATCACACCTTTTCTACATATTAATATACTTATAAATCAAGAGTAAATGTCTTAAAATTTTTATCGACCAATCAAAATTTTTAGTAAAGAAAAGCTTTGAAAACTTTTAAAATAAAATAAATAATAAAAAATATGCTTTAAACATAGTCTAAAAGATCAATAATTAAAAAAATAATAACAATTTAATTAAATTATATTTGTATCCCAAGTTATAAGCGTTTTCTGAGACACTATAAAATAATAATAATAAAAACAAAAATCAATAATTAGTTGATTAGGTTTAAGTCTTATTTTCATAATTTGCTCAGGGCCGAACAAATTATAATACTAACGGCGCTCACGATCATACATTAAAATATTAGTATCTAACCAATACGGTGTTGTTCCAAGAACCTATTAAATTTTTTGTTAATTTTTGTCGATTTTCCTTTAATTGAGAACTGTTTTCTGCCGCATCCTGTTCATGAGCATTTTTTCTCACAATATTGGTCAGTCTCTTCCATTCCTTACTAGACACTACTAATACACGGTTTTTATAACATTTTCGATTTCCTATGTAAACTAGTTCCATGATTTAGCTATAATTTTAAATCTCTACAATTTTCATTTTACAAAAATTGTCAAAATACTAACGTTCAGATTAAAAATAACTTTGTTGCCCTTGGCAACAAATAGCACCATAGATACAAAGTATCTTCAAGTTATTATAAATATTTTAAAATCAATAACTGTTTAAATATTTTATACAAAATGTTTAAAAAAAAAAATTGAATGTTTCAAATTATATACCAAATTCTATAAAACAATCATTTTTATTAATTAAATTTGAACTATAATCAAGAAACCTATTACATTTTATCTTAATGATTTATATATTTAAATTCATCTTAACTAAGAAACTTGATTATTGTTCTAGAAAATATGAGAATATTGTAAATCCTATACTTATAGTAGAACAACAGGTCTAATAAAGAATAAATGGTTTAATCTTTATAGGGGAATGATGACCACTAAAATTACATTGACCAACTCATTTATAATACCAGACTAATTTATAAGTTTAATTTTGAATATTTTGAATGATAACAAATTTAAACAGTGAGGTAAATACAATAAATTTGAGTATTTTTTTTTAATTCATCATGTAAAGTGCTATTTATGTTCATTCCTTAAAATACAAAATAAAACATATTTTTTATATTTTATTGTAGCAGCTTTAACTTTCGACGTTGTTAGTTATCAACATTACAGTATTTTTACAAATAATTTACAAAATATTACTTTAATTAATTTGATAAAAATATACTAATATTTTATTTGTACTCCTGTATTTAAGGCTGCTACTTGATTACTTGGTATTTTTAAATTCAGTCATTAAAATTTAATGTAATTATATAGAAATACTAGGTTGAGGTGGATCACTTCATATGAAAATAAATCTTTTAAATTTAACAGTCAACTAGTTACTTTATTAATAAAAAACTTATAATTAAAAAAAGCTAGCATGTTAGGTAAGGCATAGAAATTTGAGTAAATCTAGGAATACAAAATGAAGCTGAATGTAACTCTGGAGTGTAATGTTTCAATTTATGTTGATCCATTTCATCTGTGGTGAACTTGTGAATAGGTGTTCTAAAATTTACTTCCTAAAATAACAAAAACAATTCTCAACAAGTATATTTATATAAAAAGATTTATAATAATAAATAATAGTTCTTTTAATGAGCAGTTTCTTCATTCAAGCCAACTGTCTTCAAATAAATTATAAAGAATAATTATGTTTATTATAAAAAATACAAAAATATTAACAGATATTATATTAATAAATGAAAAATAAGTAACACTATAATAAAAAAAAACTTACCTCATTATTAGTAGCCAACAAAAAACTAATATTGCCAGTAGGATATGATGGGATTGATATGGTAGCTAATGCAATTTTTGTAAATACACCTGAACAATCTTTGGATAGTCTCATCATAGTACTTTGATCTTCTTTAATCCATATGGAACCTACTTGTGAGCATATAATTCCTCCAGGTTTAAGTGATTGTTTCATTGATTCAATGTAACTTTTTTGAAATAATGACGCATTAGGACCTAAAAGTGGTTTAAAAATAATGATCAATGCATAATTAAAAATTATGATTCAAAAACTATTATATCTGTTATGAATTAACACTTACCAACTGGATCAGATGAATCTGTTATAATAACATCAAATTTTTGCAAATTTTTCTTCATAAATTCAAAACCATCTTCAATATGAAGTGTGACTTTTTTATTTTCAAACCCACATGCCATAAATGGCATATATTTTTCTGTTAATTTCACCACTCGTTCATCAATTTCTACAACATCAATACTAGTTACACTTGGATGTTTAGCAGCTTCTCTAGCTACACCTCCATCACCTCCGCCAACCACCAAAATTTTTTTTGGATTTGGATGACTGCATAATGGTAAAAAAGATATCATCTCTTGATATGAATATTCATCAAACTCTGTGCATTGGATTATATTGTCCAAAATTAAAGCTTTACCAAATGATTTTCTGTATAAAAAAATATTTTTGTATTAATATATATATATAAATGTATATATATATATTAAACTAAAAAATAACTAGATATAGTACTCTATATTCTAACAATTAAATTAGTAAAATTGTGCTTACATAAATTAAGGGTAACTTCTAATGCATTGCATTAAAATTTATAGTTCTGTATAATTAATATATACATATATATATATATATATATATATATGTATATATGTATAATATAATCTTATTATGTTAAATTTTATAAAAAAAAAATATTAGGCTCCTCATATATAATTTCTGAAGAATGCAATAAATATTATACAAGTATTAATTAATTTTAAAAATTTAGGGAGAAATTTTATGAAAGACTCACATGTTATAGAGAAAATTCAAATTGCTGATATTTTATAATCTTAATGTATGGAATATACTGGATCTGCTATGAATTTGAAAAATATACAAAGCTAGTCTGACACCTGGAATTAGCTCACATCAAATTATAGGTCAGGTGTGATAAATAATTTTCTATAATACTTTTTAATGAGCACAAATTAAAATGCATAATTTTAATATACATAATAAAAAAATAGAGGAAGCCTAAATTAAAAAAAGGTTATTACTGTTATATCTTTATTTTAATGATGTATTTTACAGTTCAATCAACCAAGTTTTATTTTTAGTGTGCAAATGTAAATGTACACCAATAATAACCACGTGCAACAAAATTAGTATAACATTTTTTATTAAAAATATATCATTTATTAAAGTGAATAAAAAAGTTTATAAAGAAGAATTATAAAATATGCCAATTTAACATAGTCTTCTTTCTTTTTTTGCTTGCCTTAATCCCAAATACTCGGGGTCAGCCAATTTACTTTAATATAAAGTCTTAATGTTAGAGTTGAGTTTTTATAATTGATCAATTATAAAAATTATCATAAGTATGCTTTATTTTATAATAGGCAAACTGTTAATTATATATAATTAATGGTTTTAAAACTTAAATCAAATTATATAATAAATAAATTTACAATTATATATTTCAAAATATAATATTATAATATAAAATTATGGTTAAAAAGACTTAAAATGGTAAGCAAATGAAAAGAATGCTATTAATCCTATACCATTTTAATAACTCCTGTTCAAATAAATTTTAAAGGGAATAGATGCTAGTTAATCATTATTTAAGTTAATTCCTTTATGCTCTATTACTTAAAATTCTGTAACCAATTGTTACAACAATTCATCTATTTAATAAAAAACTTCAAAACTTAAAATAATATAGAATTCACTATATAGGGTATTCCTCCACGTTGACCAATTTTAAATCTGATAAAAATTTATGTTCATTTTTTTTTTTTAAATAATTTTTACAGTTTTGTACTTTGATAAAAATATACTTTTTATTATTAAATTTTGGCTCTAAAAAAGTTAATTTTAATTTCATTTTTTATTACATACATTATATGTAATAACATACAATATGATATGAGGAGAGAAGAATCGGAAGCTGTAAGATCAGTTATGAAAATGAATGTTGAATGAAGAAAAGATAGAGGAAGACCACAAACACTTCTTAAATGTGTTATACATGCATTGTACTTAAGCAGTCAAATTCTTTATTTTTATTGTAGTAGTAGTACTGTATATAACATAGTTATGAACAAAAAAAAAAATTATTAAATGATATTTATTATATGTCTAGTAATATAAGAATATGCTTAAAGTCCATCCAATATTAATTATAATATTAAGTATTTACGTTTGCAATATCATAATGTCTTGATAAGGAGATTTTTCTTGATGAATTATTTTTTCCACTTGCAAAGAAAGTCCTGCACCACACCAAGTATCAGATTCGGTAAACCATCCCTGTTGTAAACTATTCATTATGACTTGAATAAGTATTTCTTAATAAAAAGAAATCAGTATTTGAATGTTATAGCTAAAAAGCAATAATCCATGTTTTAATTTTATAAAACATAAAACTAAAATTACTAATTTTTAACACTGCATATTAAACAAAAAAGAAGAATCAATATATAATAAGATTAATAAAAACCTACCTATTTCATAAATTAATTATAAAGTGATCTAGTTAACACATACAATATTTTGTGCTACTATAAGTTTTCAACGCCTAAATAAGTTCTAAGAAGAAGTACTTAAGCTAGTATCTACCTTGAATTTAGTGTATTACTTATGATTGGTTAATTGGAATTTTTTGATAATCTGTCCCTTAAAAGTTAGTAACTATTATTCTATCGTATCACGTACGGATTATTTATATCATACACACGTCTTATATTAAATTTAATTTGAATACCGGCAGCGGAATAATTAATCACGTTATGTTTAAATACTTATTATAATAAATTATGTATCAGTGTAGATTATTTGTTATCTATATACATTCGTTGTGTATTACCAGCATTATCATCAGCATCATCTTGTGATAATAGATTGTCGTTAATATTTTTTATTTAAAAAAACTCAAGTCTCTATAAATGGTATACCTTACAAAATCAATGCTGTTACTTTTAATAGAACATTTCCATTCCAGAATAACAAGTTCACTTTCTGACAAAATTAATTCGATAAACTTTTAACAAAATGATTCCTAACACAAACTTGTAATCATGTCATAGTGTTTCAAATATTGAAAATATGCAGTCAACACGAAAAAATTGGCGGACAAAAGTTTTGAAATTTTCATATGTTTTTACCATAATTTTAACTATAAAATAATATTATTTTCAGTAAATTTTATTAGTACCTACTTGATCCAGTTGCTATCCAAATTAAATACCTTGCACCATTAATTATAATAACACTAACAATTAATCGATGTTTTTTCAAATATTGTATTTCTGAAACTATTAGTGTACTTAAAATAATATTTCGATGAAAATAAAATTCCATCAAATAAAACTTTCAATTAAAGAACTTCAATTCTATAAACATATATATGTATATTTAACCCTTTTAACTATATGATTTAGAAAATGACAATGTTTATTTGTTTAAACTTTTATATAATGTATTCTATGAACAAAGCTCCCTAGGCTCTCCTTCAAAACATGTCTAATTTAATGCTGAAGGTCCAATGAGTATGTTTAATTCTTAATTGCAGTTTTTATAAGTATATGAATTACAAGCATTTATAATAAAAAAAATATTTTATAGCTATTTTTTTTTTTAATTTTTATTTTACAGCCTATAATCCAAAAAAAAAATTATGCATGTAAAATTTTAGAAATTAATATAAATTAAAAAATAAAACAGAACAGTGGGGTCGCGGCATAGTAAAGAAGTTGCATAGTTGGTTCCAGCATAGATGTATCAGACAGTGATTGAAATTATATAATAATAAATATAGTTTAAAAAAACTAAAAAACACGCTTTTAAAGAACATCGAACTAAAAAGTTAAAAATAATTTTTAAAATAAGCGTAAAACAATAATGAACGAAAAGTACTAGTATTATTGTGATAAAAGCGTCGGGCGCTCAATATACGAAAAATATAGCACAAAGCACCCACGCTTTTATCACAATAATACTAGTACTTTTCGTTCATTATTGTTTTACGCTTATTTTAAAAATTATTTTTAACTTTTTAGTTCGATGTTCTTTAAAAGCGTGTTTTTTAGTTTTTTTAAACTATATTTATTTTTCACTTTTTAGTTACATGTTATGATAGTAGTTACTATCAATATCATGGTTGTAACGGGTAAAGGGGAATCAGGGTTCGATTCCGGAGAGGGAGTCTGAGAAACGGCTACCACATCCAAGGAAAGCAGCAGGCGCGCAACGTGGAGGTAGTGACGTAAAATGACGATACGGGAATCATCCTTTGTAATCGGAATAAATACCCTATATATCTCTTAATGAGAATAAAGCGTATTAATATATAAGTTTTAATAGTAATTAAAATATATATATATATACATGTAAAGCGACTTAAGTACGTAAACGTATCATGCACGAGGTATAGCTGTGTTTTGTTGGCGGGCGGGGCGCGAGGCATATATGGCGGCAGCGGCGTCGGCTGTAGGGATATATAAATGAATATTAACATATACGTATATATAAATAATAATATATATATGTATATATATATTAATATTAGCGGCGATGGTAAGAATATATAATCTTCGCATAATATCGTGGCACTTTCGTTGGCGTCGACGACGCGATGTCCGGCGTGATCCTCGGGCGTCAAAAGGTTAGCAGCGTTGATGGCGACGGTGCGCGAGTGGAGATCGGTTTATTGACGTTGCCACTTTGACAACAGGAAGAATACTACGCTATCATTAGCGGCGGTACGTCGTCGGCCGTGCGGCACTTGCTGGACTTTGCACCGCGGCGTTTACTCAAAATTATACAGAAAAAAATAGTGTTATCGCCGACTGGTGAGCGGGGTGGGGTGAATGCGTTACGACGGTCTAGTCTCAAGGTCATAGACAACGGCATACGCGACATAATAACACGTGCCGCGTGGAGTTACAAACTTACAACATACAAACAACATACAACATACATGTGAAACTAATATAAGCGTGTTAAAAACGCTTCAATGCAAATCTGTAGATAGTGTTTAAATTTTTAAAAAATTAATGGATTATTTGTCTCTAAAAGCCACATAATCTATTATTTTCTTATTTATATCCTTATTACAAATTTTATGATTTATAAGAGTGTAAATAAATATTTATTATAGCAATTAAATATAGTAAGAAATTGATATTTAATAATTTTTTACAAAAATCGTATTTTAATTGTCAATTTTGATGTCCGTTTTCATCATGAAAACAAAATAAAGTCCAGAATTATTTTTTTCCATAATAAATTATATCACATAAACTTTAATTTAAGGTATAAATAAAAGTGTCAGTATCTCCGTAACACTTTCAAAGTTAATTGAAAAAGTTGTCATTTTGAATCCCCCCTGTGGTTGGTAAAGGGTCAGATTTATAAAAAAAAAAAACCAAATGAAAGGTAAAGACATCATGAATTTATAAAAAAAATTATATTGATTTGGTTATTTTTGAAAAAGTTATGGCAGTTTAAAGTAAAAAAAATTGAAATAATTAAAAAAATTAGCGATTTTTACATTTGTAATTTTTTGGAGATTTCCCCCATTTACGGGGAACGAGGGAATTTTTTCAATTTTTGAGGGTAATGTCTTCGACTAGTTACGATTTATGATCTTATGAAGAACTGTTGAAAGAAATCGCTTCAGGGAGAGCTGAGAAAAAGTGGTAACAGACACAAAAAAAAAAAAACCAATACCTTCTCAGTTTCGCATCGAAACTAAAAAGTTAAATAATTTGATAAAATTATTTTATATTATAAATAAATTCTTGGCAAAATAAAAAATTACAGAAATTTTTATCATATCGAAACTTAATACTTTTTTTTTGTGTTTTTTTGGTATCCAAACAACATTTGATATTTCTTGCTCATTATACTCAATTTTTAATAACATAGTTTATTTTAATAACATAGTTTATTTTAATAACATAGTTTATTTTAATAACATAATTTATTGATAGAATTTACCCATGATTATTATTTATATGAATAATTTAACTTTTTATTAAAAAATAAAAAATATCAAGTAAGTCATTAAATTGTCAATATAAAATTAAAGAAAAAATGCCATTTTACTCAGTTAAAAAATCTTAAATTCAAAAACTGATATCAAATTTAAATTTAGCGAACTTAAATACATAAAAAGAAATGCTCCATTACACGCCCAAATACCTCTCCAAAATAACTTAAATGTGTTATCCAACATCAATTTTCTATTTATGCGTGTATCCATAACGAAAAATTCCACTGGAACACGAACGTCGTACTTAACATGTTAACGTTAATCAATTAATAATATATTGTACATTGTATTTAACAAAATTTCGTAAATTTCTAACTTCATTTAAATCAAAAATAGATCAACATTTTTGTTGACAAGTGCATATGTTATACGATGCTTTTCGATTAACAAATTTTTTAGATACTAATAATTTTAATCATTTGGAAATATTAATAAGTAACAATATTGTGATTTGGTCTCACTTTCCATTTTAGTAAGAAAATGTATATTATTATTCAAAAAACTTTAAAAAAAGGATTTAAGTAAACATTTGGTAATTAATGCAACAAATTTCATACAGTTATAATAGAAACTACATTATTTTAAAATAATAACGTATTCTTTTATACTTTTACAGAATATATTTATTTTAAAATAATTATATATCTAATTATTATTTAAAAATGTAAAAAATATTTTTTAGTATTTCTCAATTAGTAAAAAGACAAAAAAAGAAATAGAATTTTTTTGAGAGATATAGAATTGAATACTCCTAAATAACAAATATGTAAATCAATTAATTCGGTCATTAACTTAGAAATTTAATATTTCTTTTTCAAGTCGACCAATTTGAATTTGACATCCACCACAAAAAACAATAGAGTTGACAACATAAACTGTGTTATCAAATTTGAGAAAATAGTTAGATTCTATTATCTATTCTTCGATTTTGCCTCCAAAATACTGATACATAAATTAATATAATTGATAGATTAACAATATCTTAATAATAAAATATAATTAATATTATACTGTTTGTTTAAATGTAGTTAGAATTTATAAAATCGTTTCAATTTAAACTTATATATATATGTATAAACTAATGAATCCCTTTTTTATGATTTTTAAATATTAATCTATTTGGACTTCTGTTCATTATTTTCTTATAAGTATGGAGCAAGTACAGGTAGTTCCAGTTGTTAAAAAATTGGCTGAAGATGTTGTAAATAGAATAGCTGCAGGAGAAGTTATCCAAAGGCCTGCAAATGCTCTTAAAGAACTATTAGAAAACAGGTTATAAATATTATACAAGTTATTATTTGTTAAATCATATAAATATTGAAGTGAATTTTTTTGTTGGTTTATCTATTTTAGTTTAGATGCCAAAGCAACAAATATTCAAATAACACTAAAAAATGGAGGCCTAAAGTTTTTACAGGTATTCTTTAAATAAATTTAGTAATATCATTTCTCTTAATGTAAAAAGCATATGAAAAACTAAATAAAACTCAGGCTGTCTATTACTGTATCTATAGCTACCCATTAATTTAATTAAGTTGTAATTTTTCTAATTATGTCTAAGTATTACATTTTAAATAATTTTTTTGGCCTTTATCCAAAAGCTGATCACAAAAATCATGAAAATGATGTTTAAATGGATGTTTGAACTATTGATAATATTTATAGGAAAGTGTGATTGCTATTTTCAGCTTAAAAAACTGATAATTGTTTAAAATTATGGTTGCTATTTTCTAAAAATTATGGAAGTCTGAAAAATCTGAAAAAATTTAAAATGTTGCAAAGTTAGGAATATTATAATGGTCAGTGAAATAATGAAAATGTCAGGGATTTTTATGATTTTGCTTGGAATTTTTGAAATTGATTACACCTATCATATATTTAGACAATACAAGGGAGGTGTCAGGGGTTCAAATCTTGCTGTTACAAATTTTATTATAAATAATCAAACTATACTAATAATCATGTTGGGTATACTTACAGGTTGAAACCATTAATATATACTTACGTCTTTGAGCTAAAAGGGAGATTTAGAGGTATTTTTTTGGATAGGTAAAATAAAATGTATACTTCTATACTATTCAATGACACAATATGTTTTTGCAAGTCTTTCTTGTGAAAGCTTAATATTATACCTTATAGCTATGATTGATGAGACTTTTTTTACTTAAAATTTTATATTTTTATTCATGTTTATACAAAATTCAGAAAAATTTTAATTTTTGAGTTGCATCAATAGTCTTCTTGATAGGCGATATATTATCTTTCAATTTAGATACAAGACAATGGAACTGGTATTCGAACTGAAGATTTAGGTATTGTATGTGAACGGTTTACTACTAGTAAATTACAAGAATTTGAAGATTTAAACAAAATATCTACTTATGGATTTCGTGGTGAGGCATTAGCCAGTATAAGTCATGTTGCGCATTTGTCAATAACTACAAAAACAAATGGATCAGTGTGTGCTTATAAGTATGCATAGCTCATATCTTTATCAATGATTAATATTTTTTATATTTCATTAATTTTTAGAGCATCTTATGTAGATGGACATTTAAAAGCACCACCCAAAGCTTGTGCGGGAAATGTTGGAACTATAATTACTGTTGAAGATTTATTTTACAATATAGCAACTAGAAGAAAATCAATGAAAAGTTTTAACGAAGAGTATCTAAAAGTTGTTGATGTGGTAAATATTTTTATAAAATATACTTAAAATTGTTTGATAATAAAACTTTATAAAGATAATTTGTTCTTAAGTGATAAAGATAAAATTTTACTATTGAAAATAAGTCCAAATTTTAAATGTTATGAAAAGCTATTATTATATTTTATTAGAGTTCAGATTCAATGCATTTGCAAAATGTTAAGACCACTTCCGAGACATTAAACTCTATAAAAATTTGTCATAGATATATATATTAACATCGGAACAATTTATGTTCTACGGGGTAGTAATCCTTTCAATCTACAATTCCTAATTTATATGCACTGATTAAGATTAAGATAAACAAATACAAATATCTATATATCATTGTTGTACTTGAGATAACCAAAACAAACTATAAAGTCCCAGCTTGAAGCAAATGAAAATAAATTATTATTAACATTTTTATTCTTTTGTAGTGTTAACTGATTAATGTCTAGTTTATATTATTTATTGATGTATTTCTAATAAGTGTTTTATTTGTACTAAAAATTGTATAATTGAGCTTGTATAATAAAAAAAGTTATAATTAATCAAAAATACTGTTCAATAACAACTTTTGGACCAGGTCTTTACAAGTTAATACTATATCAAAATATAGATTGGGAGTGAGTAGTGGATTATGATTATTTTTATTACCAGATATTTCTCAATTATACTCTTCCTCCTATTGAGTCATAAAATTATTCACAAAAAATATTAGGTATAATAAGTAGTTATTAACTTGTCATTTTTTTAATTAGATCATTTTCCTATGTATATAAATTGCCATGTGAAAAAAAAGTTCATACTATAGTATAAAGTATTGTATTAAATTAATTAACAGTATTTTTATCAAACAACACTCTTCTAGAGATAAGTCTTTTCCAAAAGTTAGATTCAGCACGAAACCTAAGGTACTCCTTGTATTACTAAAAGTTATGTTACCAACACTAACAAGAATAGAGTATTGGTACAAAGTTTAACTAGTTGATCAAAAGATCTACTTATAGCGAATTGTTTAGCTTTTCCCAGAAAATACAAATGAGAAATCAAAGTTTGACTTATCAGAATTCTTTACCTTTTTAAGACCATCTTTTATTTCTGGTTGTAACAAAATATTAATTTTTAAAGGAGTCTTAAAATTACTTTACGAAAACACAATGAATTATTTTAAATAAAAATAAATTCTCAAAATTACTGCTATTCTATAAGTAATTTAGTGAGTTGTGATAAACGCAATACTTTGTATTGTAACATATTATACTTAAATATAATTTACCTAATCTAATACATTTTACTGAAGGTAAGTCGGTATGCTATACACAATCCAAGTGTTGGTTTTACTTTAAAAAAACAAGGAGAAACGTTGTCAGATGTTAAAACAAATTCTAATTCGAACCATAAAGATAATATCTTAGCTATTCATGGATCAGCTGTTTGTAGGTATGGATTTTTATTTTTAAATTAATTAATTTATATATTTTGAATTTTAGTAATAATTTATTTAATATTGTTTTGTAGGGCATTATTAGAGGTTGAAGATTATTGCAGTACTCTTAAAGTAAAAATTAAAGGATTTGTGTCCAATCCTAACTACACCTCAAAAAAATTACTTTTCATATTATTTATAAATGATCGGCTGGTTGATTCTAAAGGTTATAAAATTGCATGATTTATATATTATTGATTTTTAATTTAAGTAAAACTTTTTTAGGACTGAGAAAAGCCATTGAGCAAATTTATAGTATTTATTTAGGGAAAGGATCTTATCCATTTGTATATTTAAGTTTACATTTGGATCCTATGAATGTAGATGTAAATATTCATCCAACTAAACATGAAGTACATTTTTTACATGAAGATAAAGTTATTGAAAAAGTTACTGAGGCTGTCCAAGAAAAATTATCTGGTTCAAATATATCAAGAACTTTCTATACACAAGTAATTATTAAGTTTATAAAATTTCAAATAAATTATTTATAAATTTTACAAATTTTTATAGACACGTTTACCAAATTACAATGACACTTCTGTAGCAACAATGTCTAATGAAAAATCTATAGATAAAGCTATTAAATTAGCTACTTCATCAGAAATGCCAAAAAAATTAGAAAAATCTCATATTATTTCACAAAATAAAATGGTAAGAACTGATAGTAATGAACAAAAAATTGATAAATTTTTAGATACAACAACTTCAGTTGCTTCTGAATTAAAATCTGAGAATTCTGTAACAAGGTAATGGAGTATTAAATATCTATGCATTCTATTATTTAATTTGAAATACTATTTCTAGGAGAGATATAAAATTAACTAGTGTTTTAAGTTTACGTAAAGAAATTGAAAATAACTGTTGTGAAACATTACAGAGAATATTTCATAATCATAAATATGTTGGAGTAGCTTCAGCTACTTGGTCTTTATTTCAGCATGAAACAGAATTGTACATTTGTAATTCTAATAATGTGTTGTAAGTAACAACATATACTAATATCAATAGTTTCTATGGGCAATTTATTCTGAGAAATTATTTTATATGTTTAAAAATAATAATTTTATATTATTTGATAATAAATATTAATAAAAAAAGCTATATTGAAATAAGTATTATTTAAGTTAAAATTTATGAGAAACATTTCACAAAATAATATTGCTGATATATTACTGTATGAAACTAATTAATTTTTTCTGCGTGTAATAAATCAAAAATTAAATAAATTAAATTTTTTATTTATTTTTTAATGGATCAGTGTTAGAAAATACTCAATAGCATAATATATAATGTATTATAAACATTATAGAGCTATTTTTAAAACAATTTTTTCTTAGATTTAAGTTACAGGCTAGTTATAGTTCTGGATATAATTAATTTAAAATCATAAAAAGGAACTTTTCATTTCACTTCTTCTTTTTCTTCTTCCTTGCCTTAATCCCAACTACTTGGGGTCGGCCACCCTTAACCTGAACTTCCATTTAGCATGATCTCCCACATCATCTACGCTCACATCAGCTGTTCTTATATCACATTTAATAGCATCCCTCCATCTCTTTTTTGGTCTTCCTCTACCTCTTCTTCCTTCAATATTCATTTCACTCATCAACAAAATATTGATGTAATTTTACTTATCATTATTAAAGAAATACTTATTATTTTTGAAAATTATAACCCATTATCCGACTAATTCTTAAACCAACTTCAATCAAAAAAGTTGAATAAGTTGGCTACTTTACAGTTAACCTCTGTATTCCATAGCAAATCAATGTATAATTGACATATTAAAAGTATTTTGTTTACAGTCAAGAAATGTTTTATCAAATAATGCTTTATGAGTTCGGTAATTTTGGTATTATTAAATTTTCTGTGAGTACTCAGTTACATGATAAAAAATATTTTTATTTAAATTATTATTTTTATTTAGAATCCATTATCAATTTTTGATCTTATTATGGTAGCATTTGAACTTCCTGAATCAGAATACCAAATTGAACAAGACAAACCAAAGGAAGAATTGGCTCAAGATGCAACAGATGTATTGATGTCTAGATCTTTAATGTTAAACGATTATTTTTCTATTGAAATTGATAGTGATGCAAATATATTATCAATACCATTATTATTGGGTGAATATGAAAATTTGTTTAAATATTAGATTATTATATTATTGATTTAACATTTTTTCTATTATTATTTAGAGGGCTATTTACCAGATTTAAATGGTTTACCATTATATTTATTACGTTTAGCAAGTGAAGTTGATTGGTCTAGTGAAAAAGAATGTTTTAAAACATTTAGTCATGAAACTGCTAGATTTTATGTAATGCCACCTTGGAAACAGTTATGTTCTGATATTGATGATATATCTGTTAGTATTAAATAATTATTTTGTAATAAATATACTAATTTAAAAATAGAATGTTCACACTTTTTTTATATCATAAAGGATGTTGCACCTGATAAAAATTGGACATGGGTTGTAGAACATATTTTGTTTCCTGCCTTTCGAAAATGTTTTCAACCGCCAAAGAAATTTCAAGAAGATGGAACTTTATTACAAATAGCTAGTCTAACTGAAATGTACAAAGTGTTTGAACGCTGTTAAAATTTAAAACTTATTTATTTGTTAGTCAAATAATTTATTTGAACTAATCTTATCTTATAAGCTAATATTTTTACAGGTTTAATTTTTTATGTAACATTATAATTTTACAGTATTAAATTTTTGGTGAAATTAATTGCTGTTTTTCACATTTTCTAAAAAAGTATAAAGTATTTACTCAAAATCATAGTTATCACGGTTCATTTATGACCTTTTAATGCAATTTTTTTACAAGTTTCTTTGTTATCTAATAAATTTTCTTATTTAGCGTGTGTGGTTCTCAGGTTTAGAAAATAAATAAATAAAAACGTTCTAAAGATTTGTCTTTTATCAATAATTGGATTTTAAAGTAATTCTATTAGTATATAGTAATTGATTAATTCTTAGTATTTTTTAAGTAATATTTACTCAGATATGGCTATAAGATACATGAGTAATAAAACATAATAATTATCGGTCACTAATAGCAGAGTACTAAAGTTTATTTCAATTTTTTCAATAAAAACATGATATTTTTTTTTCTCATGCATATTCTTAATTCATAATTTTAAAATTTTAATGCATACTTTTAAAAAATTTTTTTTTTCAAATATATATAATACATTTTTTAACTTTTTAAAACATATTTTTATGATTATTTATTTGTTTTAAAAATATAACAACACTAACTTATAATAAAAAATTTATTTAGATAAATTGAACCTTAAATGGAAAATAAATATAGTTTAAAAAAACACGCGTGGGTGCTTTGTGTCATATTTTTCGTATATTGAGCGCCCGACGCTTTTGTCACAATAATACTAGGATTTATTGTTCACTATTGTTTTAAGTTTATTTTAAAAATTATTTTTAACTTTTTAGTTCGATGTGTTTTAAAAGCGTGTTTTTTTTAACTATATTTATTTTTTACTTTTTAGTTACATGTTATGACAGTAGTTACTATCAATATCATGGTTGTAACGGGTAAAGGGGAATCAGGGTTCGATTCCGGAAAGGGAGTCTGAGAAACGGCTACCACATCCAAGGAAAGCAGCAGGCGCGTAAATTACCCACTCCCGGAACATGGAGGTAGTGACAAAAAATGACGATACGGGAATCATCCTTTGTAATCTGAACGAATAGACACTATATCTCTGAATGAGAATAAAGCGTGTTAATATATATTTTTAATAGTAATTAGAATATATATATATATAAAGCGACTTAAGTACGTAAACGTATCATGCACTAGGTATAGCTGTGTTTTGTGAGCGGGGGAACGTTATACCTAAAGTATAAACGGAGGCAGCGACGGTAGGAATTTATAATATTTTTATGCAAGGCGCATTACACGCGGGCGGTATTGGTCAGTCAAAATAAAAATTTGTTTATGTATGTATAATTGTTGACAGGCACGCGTGTACGGGCACGAAAACCAAAAATATAAAATTATATAGGAAAATAAAGTTGTTGGTATTGGTGAGCGGGTTAGAGTGAAGACGTTACAACAGTCTAGTCTCAAGGTCATAAATAACGGGATACGCGAGATAATAACACGTGGTGAGTGAAGAGTTACACAAAACAAACAAACGTACATGTGAAACTGATATAAGCGTGTTAATATTTAAGGTCAGTCCTAACAGCAATTACAACATTTTTATAAACCAAAATATTTTAAAGAATCTATTAAAAATCAAGTATTAATACTGATTTTTTTTTAATTTTATGAAATAAAATGTTTAAAAATTAAAGGAAAATATGTGTTGTATAATTATGTTATTTTATTTTAAGGAAATTTGTTTTTACCAACAGCTAGTCACATAAAATTAGTTTATATATACAGATTAAGGTAGCCAGTGGCGTACACAGAAATTAAATTTGGGGGGTTTTTGAAATTTAAAAAAAATTAGATGTGACACTGCCAATATTATTCGCTCAAAAAAATTCCTGTTTTCGATTTCTTTATTTTGGAAATATTTATAGTATGATATGATCTTTTTCATTGTTATTACTTATTGTTTATCGTCCAAAATTATCGCTTAGCTTATACATTTTTTACGCTAGTGAGGGTTATTCTTATTTCTTAAATCGATCTCCGTACCCGCCATTTTTTTTGTTATTATATGAAAGTCATTTGGGTAAAAACTTACCTTTTTAGGTGCTGAATTGGGGATGAAAATTCGTTCAAAAAGGTAATTTTTCAGTTTTTGATCATTATTTCTAATGTTAATATTATTTTTAATGTTAATTTTAATATTTTCTTTAAAAAAGGTATTTACGAAAATAGTCTCACATTATTTTTACTTGCTCAAAATTTGCTAAAATATTAGTCTTATGTCTTAGTTCTAGTCTGTTTTATAGTTTTGCTGTTATCGCGAATTATATATATATATATATTTACATTTAGTCTCGCATGTTAATCCTATGAAATCACTTTAATGTTATTTTGATTTAAATATTTTTACGTATTTTACTACATTTTGCATAAGTATATAATTTGTAATAATGTCATTAGTATCAGCTGATACTAATGACATTACTATCAGCAGCGAATTACTCATATTATAAAATTGCAATACAACAATGTAGCAAACGGTTTATACTTGGTGACTTTTGTCTCTAATCGTAAGATATTTATGCCTGATATGGTAAGTGTAGTGTAATATGGATATTTTATCATCTACAATTATAATATAATATAACATATTATGTTGTGCGGCTCGTGGGTGCTGGTGGTGGGAGTGCGACTTTAATTATAATACCGCTAGTAATAGGTATAAAAAATTGTCAAATAAAATATAATAAAATAAAACACAATACACATATTATTATTTTTAAGGACGCAGTAGAAAATAATAATCATAGCTATTATAGAAAACGACAACGACGAGCGTACACGTAGTTAATTCTAAAAATAAATTACTCAATACAGTAATATACTAATATTTTACTATATGGAAGACGTTTTCAGACGTCTAAAACCCGTATATAAGATTGCAGCTTAACCTTACCCGCACGCACACGTTAGGTACCCCTCGTTTATAATATACGTTTCAAAATATTGTTCGGACGACGCTGTAGGTCGTCCAAACACTGCTCGTGTGTATATGCGAACCAATGCACATACTGAGCGAAACAACTTTAATGTTCTCACACGACAAATGTATTAGAACTATTTTACTAATTAAAAATTTGCATTTTTAACACGCTTATATTAGTTTCACCTGTATATATGTATGTAGGTATGTTTGTTTGTAACTTTATACGCGCCACGTGTTATTATCTCGCGTATCCCGTCGTCTATGGCCTTGAGACTAGACTGTCGTAAAGCATTCACCTCACCCCGCTCACCACTCGACGATAACAATATTTTCTTGTATAATTTTATTTTTGGTTTTCGTACCCGTACACGCGTGCTTGTCATCAATATTTTATATATGTTAACAAATTTTTATTGTTTATTATTAGATATAAACATTTAAAGATTCAAATTTTTTTAATTTAATTTTTAAGTTAGCTAATTTTTTTTTTATGACGATATTAGCAAACATATAGCCTTTACTATCAATGGTATAGACATCATATTTTAGAAATAATACTTCATAAAAATTTCAATTTATTATATTTATACTAGTTTAAATTTTTAAAATTAAGAGATTTTTTCCAATATTTGATGACTATTAGCTCAACTAGATTAAAATCGGTTCATTTAACGCATTGATCATCAAAATTGTATTGAATTGAGAATTTGTATGGATAGACATAAAAAAAAACGCACTTTTTTAGTTTCCATCCGTAACTAAAAAAAAAAAAAAAAACCAAAAAGTTTTTAAAACATCTACTCAAAATAGCGTATTATAAAAATTCATTATAATTGTAAAAATTCATTGTTAAATTTATGTGAAATCCAAAATCATTTTTTTAGAAATGGTTTATACAATAATATGTTACCAAAAATTTGGAATATTGTAGACTGGTAGTGGAACACACAAATAATGTTAAAAAATTAATATATAAAAAAACGGTAGCACAGTGGAGTTGCAGTACAGTGTGGACGTGGCATAGTTTAGGCAAGTATAGATAATATCTGACAGTGATCATAATCACTATCATAAAAGAAATGTTTCGATGAAAATCTGTAGATATGTTTTATTTTAATATATAAGTGTAATATTTTAAATAAATAATTAATAAATTTGTTCGACTTCGACGGCCATCATAGAAGATAGGTCGTTGGGATATTTTTTTTGAATTTATAGTATCTTACATAAGTTTTATTTATTTAAAAGACGTAGTATTTCAAGAACATTTTCAAAATTAAAAATTCTACTTTTGTAAAAAATTGCTATTTTGAATCCCCCCTGTGGGCAAGTAAATAGTCAGGTTTTCAAAAAAATTATATGTAATAAAAAGGAAATATCTAAGGATTTTATACAAAAATAAATGATTTGGCTTCATTCATTTTTGAAAATCATATAGTAGTTTTAAGAAAAAAAAATTTAACATTTACCGTTTTGAAAAATTATAATTTTTTTGAGATTTCCCTCATTTATAGGAAACGAGAGACCTTAAATATTTATTTAAATTCAAAGTACATATTCCCATTTGAAAAATCAAAGTTTATACTTTTAAATGGTATAAGGGATAAACCAAAAAATATTTATCTCGACCTGTAGTATTAATAGGAAGAAACTAATTAATGGCTAGAGATGTGGAGAATAGCTATTGAGAAAAGGGATTAAGAACAAAAAGAAGTAAGATGTAGAGTACGAGTTTGACAAAGGAATACATATGGTAGATGAAATGTGAAGATCAGTGATAAAACTGAAACGTCTGGTGTGTTATGCGATAAGAGAATTCCAATGAAACTAATAGGTAAGTTCTATAAGACTGTAGTGAGACCAGCTATGATGTATAGTTCAGAGTTTTGGTTTGTTGACAAAAAAGTAGAGCAAATAATGAGTATAGTAGAGATGAGAATGCTTATATAGATGAGTGGAGTGACTAAAGAAGATAGGAATGAACATATAAGAGGGAGTATAGAAGAGGTAGAGAAAGACCAAAAAAGAGATGCAGGGATTTTATTGAATGCGATATAAGGAAGGCTGATGTGTGCGTAGATGATGTGAGAGATCGTAAAAGCGGAAGTTTAATATAAGAGTGGCCGAACACAAGAACTTGGAATTAAGGGAAGGAAAAAGAAGGTTAATTATATCGTTAATGATAAAATTATTATTTTGTATAACTCATAATGGGACCACTAAAAACTGTCAAAAAAATAATATATATATATATATATATATAATTAAATCCTATTTACAAACTTGAAATAATTTATTTTATTCGAGATAAAATTAACATTGAAATGTATAATATTATAAATGTCATAAATATATATGATTGATAAATAAAAATAACAGTTACAAAATTAAAACCAAACTTACATATGAATATTATATGAATAGAATGTAATCGATCATATATTTTGGCAGTGGAGTCTTAAGTTTTGATGTTTCATCAATATTTTGGTTATCTGTTTGTTTTTCGTCGTTGTCATTATCATGATTTACCATATTAATGTTGTTTTCTACATCATCGTTAGATTCAGCATTTTCCATATTATATATTTCAGTGTATATATTTTGGCTACATAAGCGATCTAAAAAATAATTAAAGATAAATTTAATAATAACTTGCTCGGCTCTTTAACAAAAAAAAAACTCTACGCTACTATAATTATAACACAGATCAATAGACTTTCGCTTTTAAATCTATGAAATTCTGTTACTAAATTCAAATTTTACGTGGAGATTTTTAAAGACAGAACTGACCTAAAATAATTAAGATAGAGGGCATGGTATTGATGATTTTCGTACTATACTAAATAATCTATTAACAGCGATTATTGTACATAATTTTTACTTATTATAAAATTAAACTTACGATACTTTTAGGTTCTCTCGTTAAAATGTTAAAAAACTTAAGTTTTAATTAATGAGTGTAATCAGAAAACTGTACTGTTTCTGTCAAGGTAATCGCTGTACACACAATATTCTTTATCAATTTAATAATCTTTCCTTATATGACACATACACTGGCCACCACTGTCAATATCTGTATAATTTTAATATTGTCCTTTACTTTTATCTTTTTTTCTATTCTGTAAATTGTTAGGCCGATACCCTCTCCCAAACGTGATCGTCGTCGTCGGTGTGTCTCGCCCGGTGTGTAAAAAGATTGACGTTTCTATTTCCTTTGAACCACCGTCGTGGTACTCTGCTGTGTGTGTGCAGCCAACATTTTTTTAGTGTGTGACTTTTGTTATTGTGCAGTAAATTTCAACACGGAGTCGGCCATTTTACGGGGCCGAGATCCCCGTTTTCGGATGAGTCCCATCCGGGACTGTGTATCGAATTTTTTTTAGCTTCGATGCGAAGCTGTGAAGGTATTAATTTTACTATAATGTGTTTTTTTTTATTATTATTATATCCGTTACAAGTTTTTCTCAGCTCTCACTGGACCGATTTCTTTCAACAATACGTCAAAATATCACAAATCATATCTAGTTGAAAACGTTACCTTCAAAAATTGAAAAAATTTCCTTCGTTCCCCGTAAATGGGGGAAATCTCAAAAAAATTACAAATATAAAATCGCTAATTTTTTAAATTATTTCAATTTTTTTTATATTAATACCTTAGATAATTCCCTTTTATTTGATATAATTTTTTTCAAAATCTAACACTTAACCTGCTCACGGGGGGGGGGATTTAAAATAGTAACTTTTTTACAAGAACTAACTTTTTCTACTTAACTTTTGAAAATGTTCCGGAAACACTGCGTTCCTTAAATATATATCAAATCAAAGGTTTTGTCATGTACTATAAAATGAAAAACAATAATTTGTGCCGACACCTTATCGTCTATGAGTAAATTGATACCGAAATTAAGCAAAAAATGTAATGTTTGCAAAAAAAATCAGCTCCTATTGTGAAGTTTTTTGTATTTAAAACTACCATAACTTATTGAAATATTAACAAAAACAAAATAGTATTTTTTTGTATTGACACCTTAGATAACTTTCTTTCATTTGATATTATTTTTTTTGAAAATCTAATACTTATTCTATACATGGGGGTTTTAAAATAGCAACTTTTTTACGAAAACTAACTTTTGAAAATGTTCCGAAAATATTTACAGTTTTATTTAATCTTAAATAAAAGCTTATATTATATACTTAATTATGAAAAAAAAAAAATTTCGAAATATAAATTTTCTTCTTGATGAAAATAGCTACCGTATTCAAAAATATGCTATTATTGTGTTAAAATTCTTGGTTTTGTATTTTATTTTATTATAAGGGGATTACACTGATTTTCATAAATATTATATCAATCTAAATGACATAGTATAAAAAATTAGTTATATTTCAATTTTTTTGTTTCTTTGAAGTCGAGAAAAATAACTTTAAAATTTGAACTAGCTAAATTTCCATTTTTATTAAGTGACGAATGAGACGTACGGTTTTTGAGACTGTAACACTTGGATCTTTAACGACTGTCGCACTGATTTTTTTTAAATTCTTTTTCGGTTAAAAAAAATGTTTAACTCATTTGATTTTTATCTCATTTAGATTCAATAACTTCAATAAATATCAAGGATCGCATCACTATAGTCTCCCCTCGTCAGAAGAAATTTTTTATTCATGTTAATATTATTTTACTATGTGTTTTTTTTTGAGCCCGCGAGTTATTTTTATACCCTCACTTAACCTAATTTTTTCAACGATACGTCAAATGATTACAATTCGTATTTAGTTGAAGATATTACCCTCAAAAATTGAAAAAAAATCCCTTAATTAAATAAAAAGATACTTAACCAGCTCTCCCAATAAAGACAATTAAAATCATTAATTTGTTATGTTTTTAAAGTATTTATTGTCGAATTAGATTTGATATGATAAAATTATTCAACTACAAAAGTAAATAATTTTACTTTATAATTTATTAATTTTTTAACTCTATTTGTGTGTGCTACTACCAGTCTATAATATTCCAAATTTTTTTGTAACATGTTGCTATATAAATCATAGATTAAAAAAAAAAATGATTTTTAGTTTCACCTGAATTTAATAATGGGGTTTTACAATTATAATAAAATTTTATGTTAAGCTTAATTGAATTAATCTTTTTAAAAACTTTTTTTTTATTGGTTCTTTTAGTTAAAGTAAATCACTAAAATTAATTAAGTTCTGAATATTTCCATTGTAGAATCTTTTTTAACACCAAAAGTTAATTAGAAACGATTACTATGATTTTTATTTAAGTGATCTATTATGATAAAAATATAAAAAAAAGTCGAACTTTTGTGATAAATGTACTGTAAGTAGTAATTATAAAATTCCCTGATTGCATATTAATCTTAAAAATTTTATTTTTTCTATTTAATAATGTCAATTTCAAACTTGAAAGTTGAGATAAAGTTATTGTAATTAATTCTTTTTTTTTTTATTATAAACTTTCACTTTAAAGGTCTTTAATTTTATATTATATTTTTGAATTTAAGAATTACTAATCTAGATATAATTTAGGAAATAACATATCATGTAGCTTTTGTAATTATCCACCAATTTCTTAGATTTAAACATTATCTACAATTATATGCTTTATAAATTTGTATATTTTTGACATATGTAATTTTAATCATATGTATCTAGTAATATAATGGTTTTAACTTTGAAAGCTATTATTAAATTAATGTTTAGAAAAATTTGAACTTACTTATCATGGCTGATTTGGGATTAAAAATGGCATTAGACACTCTTCCGAAGTATAAAGAATGTATATTTCGTGTTTTATTCACTGCAATAAGGGATTCCTTGTATTTGTCCAATTCGATTATGTATGTTGACATTACATCAACAAGTTGGGAAAACTCGTTATACAGTTGAACAATAGTGTTATAATTTGTAATTTCATATTCCCTTATTAAACCATCATAAGCATTTAATATATTATTTCGAAAAAAGCACTTCGTAGATAACATTATGTAATTCAATAAATGATTTATATTAGATATATCTCCATAACAAATGGTACGAATATAATTGCAAAGTTTATCTAAATAGATTATCGGTTGTGGTTGAAGAAGATTTGTATCTTTAAAATATTTAATTTGGTTAATTATTATTGGACCAATTTCTGCCATTTTATTACGGATTTCATTCATTTTATTTTTAATATAATTATGCGATACAGATTTGCAAAAATCATTAATCCTCTTTAAAAATGATATATACATACGGAAAACTAATAAAATTGGCCTAATAGTTGAAGCTAACACTAGCTGTTGATATCCTTGTAATTGATTTGAATCAAAATTGTATTTCATGTAACGAAACACGTCAAAAAGTGTTACATAAGAATCATCGGGACACTTATATTTAAGTGGTGCATATTTTAAATGGTCTAAAACATTAACGGCCCGACAATCTTTTACTTCTGGTAATTTTCTATATTGTACACCTGACATGAGATTTCGTTCATCAAATTTTTGCTGTCCCATCATTAAATCGTAGTATAACAATTTTTTGGGATGGAAATCCCATCGACAATCATTTTTCATTGCTAATTGCAATATTCTAAATACTTCACTGTGTTTTAATTTCAATCTTTCATCTTTGAGTTGCAAGTCATTAATAGACAACCTGTTTTTTAGTTTTTCTACTATATCAGGGAGAAATTTAATTCTATAATCTTTTTCCTTATTGAAATCTGGGCAATTCGTAAATACTTCCTCAAAAGATACATCAGAACATGTATTGTACACAAAATATTCCAAACGTTTTACTATAGCTTTATGTATCATCAAAAATCCTTCTAGTAAATTTAATATTCTATTCGAATCATCAAATTTACCATTTTTACTTTTAAAGTTCATCTCCACAGATCCTGAAACGTTATTCAAGTATAAATTTACATTCATTAGAGATGATGTATAATTTACTCGATCTTCTGATCTTAAAGCTTCTAACATCGCAATTACAATTTCACCATGAGATTGTATAGCTCGTCCATATATTTGTAAATCACTAATCAAAATATTTGTTTTTTCCTCTTCTAATTTTAGCAAGTATTTTTCATTATGTTTAAAATAATTCAAAATGTACTTGGAGAAATTACAATTTAATTCCCTGTATTCTAATGCTGTAGAAAAATTAAACCAAAGAACAAAAATATAAAATATTTTACATACAGCCATTTTAATTAGAAAATACAAAAAAACCAATATATGCTGAGACAATTACACTTTTAGTATATTTGATGATATATGATTGCAAGGATTCGTATTTATGTCAATATATTTAAAATTTGAATTTGGAAAATGGCATAAATAATATTAATTTAACAAACACATTTGTATAAATAAATAAATCCAAAACTACCGTTTCACTATTAAATCTTTGCTTTACGCCGTAAGACTCAAATTAGACGTAAATAATTAAAAAAAAAAAAAATGGAATATAAAATTATTACACAAAAGTTTTAATTTTTTACATCACAATAATATTTTTTGTTTTTCTTCGGGTGATGATTACATAAAGAAGAAAAGTTGCTAGGAAAATTGTTTTATTTAGAGTTAAGTTGATAAACTTACCTTTCCATATAAAAGTTTTTATTTAAAAAACATACTATTTTTATGTTAAAATATTTGATTTTATATTTTTGAATCGCTTTAACTTTTTTAAAATAGTATGAATATATACGTTTATTTAGAAGTACTTTATACATATCTCTTTTATCCAACACAAATGTTTTTATTTACACATTTGTTCAATTTTTGTTAAAATGGAACAAATTCAAATAGTTTTTATTGATTCTTGGCAATTTTCAGTCTTTGAAAAAATACTTTTTATTATAACAAAAAAAATGTAATATAAAATAATATAAATAGATTATAAATCACAATATGTAATTGTAAATTTTCAACCTTAAACTTTTTTTAATTAAAGTTTTAAATAAAGTATAATTGGTAATTAAAAAAAAAAACAATATTAGTAAAATAACTAGTAATAATTTAATAATTCATTTATTATTGTCTTTTGTTAGTTTTATTTTAAATTTGAACTTAATAAATAATCAACATAGTTTTTAGTAATATAATGTCTACTGATGAAGCAGCAAATTATCAATAAATTTATCATCTTAAATAAAATCACAATATAATGTCTCTTATTTATTTTTTGTAGGATACAAGACATAAAATGATGTCAGCCAGTCTAACATTATGTTTATATGGGTTGTGATAAATCATCAATTATAACTGCTCGTTAATATAATATATTAACTGTAAATGTTTGATTGTAATTATTTAAAAACTATTAATTTTTTTCTTTAGAAGATACAATTTAACCGTATAATTACGTACAGTTTTGATTTCAACTCAGTAAACCATAATTTACCGAAAATAATTGTATATCGTCATGCACAACGAATAAGGTAGTAACACAAAAAATTCGATTTTGAGATAATGAGGTATTTGGTTTTAGGCCCTACTTCCTATAATAACTTTCATCAAAATATCAAAAATTTAATATGATTTCGATTTAATCTACTTATATAATTGATAAATATATAACGTGTAATCAGAGATTAAATATTATTATTGATTTCGGGTCATTCCATGTGAAATCACCTAATGTGTGTGCTGGTATAGTTCAGAAATTTATGAAATTTATATCATAGACTTCTTAAAGGTCATTGACAACAAAAATAATATATTTTTTTTTTTATTATTGTTTTTTTACCAGATAGAGTATTTTTTATAATTAAAAACATGAAAAAACAGCCATTGCTCCTAGGATTTTTTTATGAGTCCCAGTAACTTAATATACTACAGAACGCAGAATAAATACAAGAAATTAAAATTGAGTGTTGAAAATTATGTTGTTTATGGATTTTCCATAATACGCAAATTGTAAATTTTGTAAATTCTATAAGTAGCGTTAAAATTATTTCTCCATCATAAAATTTTCACCAGACGTTTTAATTGCCTAAAGGAAAGTACTATGTAAATTTGAAAAAAATTCGTTCAGTCACTTTTGTGTAATGAGATGACAATGTTGGCTATTTTCAGCTAACCTTGCATGTTCAAGACCGTAAAACGATACAAAAAAAATTATAAATCGATTCAAATATGATATGGGTTAAAAGAACATTACTAAAAGTTTCTAAAAAGAAAAAAAAAATTTTAATTAAAAATTTTTTTGTTCTTCAAATTTTGCTATTAAAATACTGCAAAATTTAAAAAAATTAAATCAAAATTTCGATGTTCAAAAAAAATTCAAAATTTATAAACTTAAGAATGAAATTGAAGTACTATTTAATATGAGTAAAACAGTGCTAGTTCCATAGTGATAGTTTATTTGGATGTGAAGTTATAGGCTCTAGAACATAGGCTGTTTTTTCATGTTTTTAATTATAAAAAATGCTCTATCTGGTAAAAAAACAATAATAAAAAAAAAAATATATTATTTTTGTTGTCAATGACCTTTAAGAAGTCTATGATATAAATTTCATAAATTTCTAAACTATACCAGCACACACATTAGGTGATTTCACATGGAATGACCCTTTCCTGAAAAATAAGAAAAAAATAAGTTACATCGTTATTCTTTGGACATATCGATATGTACGTTGCAATTGTACATCTGACAATATTTTTGAAATAATACACCTAGTAAGCAATTATAGATATGTCGTGTTTTATTTTGTAAAAGATAGAAAATTGTTGATAAAAATCCCTGAAACTTTTAGCTAAATTACACATAATTGTTAGATTAATAGTAGAATTAAAGCAAAATGTTCATTTTTGTGTCCAATTTGAAAATTTCACGTCCATAGAATTCGATTTTTTATCACTGAACTGATTTGTTTGTTAATGCGACAATAGAACCAGATTCAATTGTATTGTAACTTACCAGAATTTGAAAAAAAAAAGCACTCAATTGTAGAAATTTAGTTAAAATCTTTAAAACATTGATCATAAGCAAATAAAATGATAAATTAACAAAATTTTTTTGTTAATCTTAATTTTTTTTTTTAGCTTCGATGCGAAGCTGAGAAGGTATTAATTTTACTATCATGTGTTTTTTTTTTTTTTTTTTTGTCTGTATACGCTCAATTTCAGCTCTCACTGAACCGATTTTGATGAAAAATATGTCAAAAGATCACAAATCGTATCTAGATGAAGACATTACCCTCAAAAATAGAAAAAATTTTTCTCGTTCCCCGTAAACGGGGGAAATCCCCCAAAAAATTACAAATTTAAAAATTGCTAATTTTCGATATTTTTTCAATTTTTTTTACTTAAAATTGCCATAACTTTTTTAAAAATTACCGAATCAATATAATTTTTTTTTTTATAGATACCTTAGATATTCACTTATTATGTTATATATTTTTGTTGACATTTGACCCTTGACAAGCCCATAGGAAGGGGTTTCAAAATGGTAATTTTTTACAAAAATTTAACTTTTTCAACTTAACTTTTGAAAATGTTCCGGAAAGACTGACACTTTTATATTTATCTTAAATTAAAGCTTATGTAATATACTTTAATTTGAAAACAAAAATTTGACCTCTGGATTTGTCTTCATGGTAAAAATGACTACCGTATGCAAAAATATGCTATTTTTGTGAAAAAATTCTTGATATTATAATTTACATTTTTTAACATTATGATTCTATAACTTTTTGAAAAATGCATGAATCAATTTTATTATTTAACAATAAATTACATAAATATACTTACCTCAGAAGTACAACAAAACGAAAAAAAACTTAATATGAGATTTAAATTGTGTAAAATTATTCTCGAGAATAGGTAAAAACATAGATTTTTACCAATTAATAACAGTATCATAAGAAGCCTTAAGATATCATTCAATAAATATCAACTGATATTTACGAAGAAAAAATATTCTAACTAACCATGATTATTTATTAAAATATTTTACAATATTATCATAATGATTTAATTATATTGAATCGTAATATGCTACATATACAATAATATATAAAATAATTATGAAAATGTGATTTAAAAACAACAAAAAACTATCATTATACTATTTGATTTTCAGCGGATGTTTACTGATTTTCTAATGCTACATTTTACATGTTACACTATTTTCTCAAACTTCAAATTTTTATGGTATATTAAACAGATACATAGCTAAAAATTAAAATATTTTATTTTTTTTTGAAATTTGGTCCCCCAACAGAAATAATGCACCAGGAATACGTGTATTTTTATAAAATTTCTAACTTTCTAGGCCTCTAAATCCCAAGAAAATTGTTATAAATATTTGAAATTTAGTTAAAACATAGATTATACAGTATACAATAGCACATATGAAACTCACGACAAAATAATAACTTAGTAATGGTTTTAAAAGAGCTCAAAAAAGCCAATTTTCATACAAAGAACGCGCATTTTTAGAAAATTATTTAAGTTAAGAAATTTTCCTAAATTTTTTTTTTTAATGTAAACTTCAAGTTTTAAGTCTAAAATCTTAATTCGACTAAATCAATATTGAATAATCTGTGTGTTTTTTAATGATCTAGCTATTTTTAACATTTTAGCTTGGATGCGAAGCTGAGAAGGTATTGGTTTTACTATGATGTGTTTTTTTTGGTGTCTGTTACCACTTTTTCTCAGCTCTCACCGAACCAATTTCTTTCAATTCTTCATGAGAACATAAATCGTATCTAGTCGAAGATATTACCCTCAAAAATTGAAAAAATTTCCCTCGTTCCTCGTAAATGGGGGAAATCTCCAAAAAATTACAAATTTAAAAATCGCTAATTTTCGAAATTTTCGAAATTTTTTCAATTTTTTTTACTTAAAAGTGCCATCACTTTTTCAAAAATGAACAAATCAATATAATTATTTTTTATATAGATGCATGATATCATTACCTTTCATTTTGTATATTTTTTTTATAAATTTAACCCTTAACCTGCCCACAAGGGGGGATTTAATATGACAACTTTTTCACAAAAAATTAACTTTTTCAACTTGATTTTTGAAAATGTTCCGGAAGGTCTGACACTTTTATATATATCTTAAATTAAAGCTTATGTAATGTTCTTTATTATGCAAAAAAAAAATTTCGGACTTTATTTTATCTTCACGGTGAAAATGGCTACCGAATGCTATTTTTGTGTGAAAATTTTCGATTTTACATTTTTAACTTTATAATGCTATGACATATTGAAAAGTCTATGGATCAACATTATTGTTTTATAAGAAATACTATTTTTTAATAATTCCTTTTTCATTCGACATACTTTATCTTAATCAGGATACTAATAATGAACTAGCAGATCATGTAGCTTTTGGAATAATCCACCAATTTTTTAAAATTAAACACTATCTAAAGATTTGCATCGAAGCGTTTTTTTTTATAGTGATTTTAATCACTGTCAGATATCATTATACTTGATCCATCTATGCCACGTCACCACTGTGCTGC